GGGCCAGGAAACTCACCTAAATTCAAGCAAGTACAAGGCTTCATGACGGGCGATGTAGAACTACATATTCCTCCCCTTGCCACACATGCGGACATTTGGGGGGGGGGGTCGTACTTTGCAAAATTTCACCCCCACGGCTGTGCGTGCTAGCTCCTTGCATTGCTTCGATCCCGTACAGTTATGAAACTCGACGTGCTGATCATTCCTTTTCGGTTGCGCCATGCATCTGACTTCTGTCGATCTAATTTTTACAGTCACTACACTATTTCTTTTTGCATTATTGTTTTAACATCCATTTTTTACATTCTGCAGTGTTTTGTCTTCAGAAACCCGTTGATGCAAAGCCAGCAGTGCTACAAGTGTTATCAATGAAACGATCGCAAGCAATCAGTATCGTTCTGACGAAAACTGCCCCCGATCAACGTCATCCCTACAGCTATTATGGTGAGACTTCATAGATGTCCCCCCATGAGCTACAGTATCTATGAAAGCTTCTAGAAATTCGATTCAATGGTGCTGAATAAGGATGGAATCGAGAAGATACTGAAGACGATGATGCCCACGGCAAAAGAAGTCGAAGAAATTCAAGAGAAGCAGCTGGAGAATCCTGACATGCAACTGGTAAGCGAGCCAACTTCTCGCCCATGAGAGCGAATCAGAATAGTTTCATCGTAGTCCTCAGAAAGCTAGGTTTGGTAGCGTAAGCTGTAGTTGACGGCGCAGTTCGGCTTAGGGGGGGGGCACCAAATTGTACCCAGTGAAGCTTCTTCAGGCTCCTTTACGGGGACATTCTATTAGTACATAGTTCTGTAGTTCTAGTTATTCTAGTAACCAAAGTGACTTACTTGTGCTGTTTCGCAGTTTCACAAGACTTTACAAATTAGTTAACAAGATCTAATGAAAGGAACTAGGAAAAGTTCAAATGCCCCTCCCCTTCCATCTCGACGGCGGTTTTTCGAGAAAGATTCCGGAAAAAGGTATGGATCTGGGAGAAGTCAGGGACATTATTAGGAAGAATAGAGGAGGGGGCGTACAAAGGGAGGGAAGAAAAGGCATTTAGCAAACATTTTCCACCACGACAAGCAGGGTGCCCTGTTTTACGGTCTCGGAAGGCTGACTGGGTAGCCCTTCCCCAGTCCTTATTCCCTTACGCGCTGTTCGTGGTCATCGGCAAAGACCCACCTCACTGACAGCGTCCCAGTCCTCTTTACAAAGCTCAGAAAGAATCGCAACTCATATGGAGGAGGACACAATACGGTCTCCGCCATACGATATACGTGAATTTAATTTTATGGAGTAGAACTCATTTCTTTAAGTGGGATTCCTGAGCCAGTTCGTACTGCATGCATCGAAAAATCTCCATTGTTCTTCTGGTAACGCTTGGAAACTTGTGGATTTCCCGTTGGACTACAAGACCATGAGAAAGGTCGGCCTTCGTTCTGTGGGCTTTGTAGTGTAATGCGATGCTGATGAATACTTCACTGTTATCACCAATCAACTTACTTATTCATGAGTATTTAAGGATATTGCTGAGCCTTTGATGGATTTACAATTGGCAATGAAAGAGATGGAAGAATCGAAGACATTCCGGAAAGCGATGAGCATCTTTCTTGCTATCGGCAACTCTCTTAGTGGCACTGAGGTGCGACCAACTAGACACCCTTTTGATTTCAATGACTATTTTATTGATTTTCATTCATCTGTCATATGAGATGTTCGTCGCGTGAAAAGAGGGCGTGGCAATCTGAGGCGTGGCAATCTGGGGCGTGGCAATCTGGGGCGTGGCTTTCCATGAGGTCTACTGATGCAAGGGTAGAGCTGATGGCGCTTCTCGCAAGAAAGTTAAAATCGCTTAGCAAAGGACTACAACTTTAAATTGTGTGCAAATCATGTCCACTGTGGAAAGCAGGCGTGGCAGTCTGGGGCGGGGCTTCTATTGGGGATGCTGGAATCGCTTTGCGAAAGATCCCTTATACCCCGACAAAGATGCTCTGGTCTACGCCAGTAACCTCTCCATTCGTGCGTGGAATGTACTAGGGTCCCCAACGAATCTTGGGGGTGCTTGTGCCACACCCATTTTCGTCTCTCCTGCTCCCTCCAATCGAAATAGTGTTTCATAAGATCTGGCTGGGAACTTTGAGGAAGCAGACGAGCATCAACGACCATAACTTTCTTCACAAACGTGCCGCTTTTTATACACATGCCAAAAAATATTTTCAGTTCGGTTTGGTGGGGGCACCAGAAAGTAGTGTTCAAGCCAGCCTGTGAAGACCTGTGAATCTTGTAATCAGAATAGGCTCACTTGTGCCATTTCGAAGCCCCACACCGGTTCGTAGGTCCCACCAAAATGAGACTGTTAAGTAAGCCAAAAGGACTAGCGGAAGTGCAACATGCCCCTCCCAAACCGAGCAACGCCCAGAATGTTTCAAGCAAGTAATTATCACACTTTATAGATCAAAGGCTTCCAACTGGATTATTTGGCTAAAGCGTCAGAGGTGAAGGATCCGGTCTACAAGCACACGTTGACATACCATCTGGCTGAGTACATGCTTGAGCATTACCCAGAAGGAACGGATCTCTACACCGAGTTCGGCGCCGTGGCTCGTAGTGCCAGGGTTAGTTCCTTCTTCGATTTTATGCGGAACAAAATGATTTTTTTTTACATCTAATCGTGTT